GAAAATAAAGAAATTATTTGTACATAACTCTAACCCAGAACCACGGCACCAGCAGTACACGGCTGTGTTTTAACAGTCGAGTGGACGTACAAGTGTGTAAACACAGCTTGTGTTTCTTTCTGTTGCTCTACATGTCTAACAAATCTTTTTAATTAATGCAAAGAAGAACAGAGGTCCAGTATTCTTACACATGCAAGTGCAGCACATGCCATGTTCTGTGTGAAGGAACCCTAAACTTTAAAATACACATAAAACTTCAACATTTACCACAAGTTTTTTTTCTATTTCTTTTCCATATGGGTAGTTTCACTCTGTTAGTAGTATTAGTAGAAAATAGTTTGGCAAGATCACATTACACACACATAAACAAAAACAATATTCAGCCTTTGAGAAATATATATAATTGTGTCAAAGCCCCAGAGGTTCATGTTTGATGATGGCCAGTTTCGCTGATAGAGAATCAACCATTGATCTGACACGTGTCAATCTTTCTTTCATTACAAGTAAAAAAAGTCAACTAGAAGAGATTTTCACTGCCCCGCCCCTCATCCTGAAGATCCCAGGAGATTCCAACAACAGGTTACCTGTCCTCAGAGTACTCGTAGTCCGAGTCACCTGAGCGTTGGTGCTCCAAGTGGGGCTCGTGGTAATGGGAGGGCGAGTGGGAGTGGTGGCGGTTCTGGTGGATCTCATCCAAACTCCTGATGATGAGAAAACATGTCATTTCTATATGTAATGTGAAAATGAGTGCAGTCTAAACTATAAAGTTGTGACTTTATTGTGTTTATTCTCACTTTACTGAGATCTGACTGAAGATTTGATGTAGAGACACGATGAGCTGAGATTGAAACGTTCTAGGTAAATGCTGCCTGCACTGCAAAGCGAGATTAATGTGTTGTTCGGGCATGTTGAGCCTAAAGTCAGAGTTTTCAGTACCAGGAAGGTGGATGTCTTTTACCATGGCAACTGCTGTGCTGAACACAAGCTAGAAGAGCGACTAGGGCACATTACAAAGTCAATCAGTCCATTTGTTGGTTATTTATCACCAAAAATTCAATGAGTAAAGATCTTTTCACACACAAGTGATTTGTCGCTCTTCGTTTGGCTTCGGGACAGTATCAGAGCTGAGCGCATAGCTAAAAAGTTTCAGAGCTCTAAGATGTCGATTTGACATTTCAGATGAGCTGCAGCCTGAGCGTGCAAAGGGAAACAAATACATTAACTCACAAATTTACACAGCTAATGATTTTCTGTCAGCTGTGCTCTGTTGTGGTGTTTTCTGGTTTACAGATTTGTTTAGCGTATCAGTTAAGGTCCCTGAGTCTTGGACCCAGAGTTTTGAGTTTGGCACGTTTTGGGGTTTTGTAGTTTTACATTTTTTATTATTTTTGTTGATTATTGTTTTATGCTTCCGCATTCTGCATTGGTTCTATTTAGCTCTCTGCTGCTTTATAGTTTTAGTTTTATGTTTTTTTGACCGACAGTTTCCTGGAGAGAGGATGACATTACCCAGTGTGATTAGACACTGATGTACAACTCTTATTATTGTGGGCAAAAAGCAGAAAAAAATCTCCAGATCAACCACCCACGAAATGTGACCCATGTTGTGGAGATCCGGCACTCAATCAAACATTTTAGATTTGAACTTCTCCCTGGGTTAATGAAATGTTAACAAGAGCTGAGGTGGTTTGTCTCTTCCAGCTGTTCCAATTATTGAAATCTATAGACAGCATCATCAAAAGCATCCATATGTGGGTCTGCAAAGAAGTAAATTCATTAAATATTCCCCAAACTGGGATGGGATCTGTCAGAATAGTGAATGCGATCTACTTTTTAAATCTGGCTGTTCTGTTTAGCATCTCTGTTTTACCCTCTGTGTGTCTGTGTGTATATATGTTGTGTGAGTTCTTGCGTCTTGTTTCCCTTGTTTCATTCTATCTTCCCCCCTGCCTGTCATGTTTATCCATGTTTCCCCAGTCTGCCGTGTCTCTCTTGTCTCCCTCTTTGCCTTTCCTCCATTTCTGTGTCATGTTCCTCCGTTTCCTGTTTTATTGTGAAGGTCTCGGGGCTTCCATGTCCGGTGTGTCTAGTTCTGCTTCCACTGTGGCGTCACGTTAATCCGTGTCAGCTGTGTTCCCCGTGTGTTTAGCTTTCACTTTTTCGTTTTGTGTCGCTTTTTCTCCCAGTAAATAAAGCTGAATTTTGTCCCGTCTCCGTGAGTCTGCACCTGCGTTACACAGCTGTACTCTTTACAGTTTTACTGTTAAATCATTTGTTACACACAGCAGCCATGCTCAGGCTGAGCCCTGAGCATGGCTTTTTTCTTAATTTCTGCTTAAATTCAAAAGCAAATAGTGACAATAAAATACTAAATAAACATTTTATATTTTATTATTTTATTTTATGTTGATTTAGTAACTAAAAGAACCAGCAGGGAATCTGGTAACATCACATCTCAGATGGTTTAGTGCAGCGGTCCCCATCCCGGGCCCAGTACCGTGAGAGTTGAGGCTCGTGTGTGAAATTTATGGTTTTCAGGGTTTTTATCGTTATTTTTTAAATCGTTTTTATCATTAACTCATTAACTTTTATCATTAACACTTTTTTCCTGTGTGTTATGAATAAATCTTCTTTTATTTGGTACTGGTACTGGTTTTATTTTGTATTTATCTGCACCAAATAACACAAACAGTTGGCTAAAAGTGATCGAGACCCTACAATAACAGAGAGAAAGCACCAACAACCAGTCGACACCCTGTGAGCAGCGACAGTAGGAAGGAAAAACTCCCTTTTAACAGGAAGAAACCAACAGAAAGAGGCTCAAAAGAGGGCAGCCATCTGCCGTGACCAGAACAATGCAGCAGCGGACTTGTCGAGCAGTAATCCTCGCAGCTGCAGTCCACAAACTAACAAGCAACATCAAGCTTTACTTTAGGGTTCCCCCACCTGCCAAATCATCACTCAAAGTTCAGCAGGTAAAACTCCGCGGTGTAACTCACCTTTGCATGGGCACGTGTGCAGGCCGAGACCGAGCTCTGCACGTGTCCTCTCTGTGAGGCGACACCGAGCGCGAGCGGTGCTGGACGGGCCGCTGCTGCTCGGGCACAGCCAACGTGCTGCCCCGCTCTCTCTCCCTGGAGTTACGCTCTGCGCCTGCACCCGCACACAGATCCAGTGTGGACACACAAACACGTGCAAAACAAGCAAAAATACACGTTTCAAGATTCACACAGATATAACATACACACAGGAGGGATACAAACACTCACACACATCCAGGCATTAGTCGTGTCCTTAGGTAAGGGTGCACCAGTTGTAATGAGTCAATACTACTCGCTACCGTTACAGGTGCCATTCACCTACAGACTGTAAAACATCACATCTGGATGTTTTACAGGCAAATAAGCAGCTTGCAAACGCAGTGTAGCTGGTCATGTGACTGCTTCTGCAAATGTGTCTGTCAGACCTGAGCTCAGCTTGTTTTAATCCCATGAAGTGGCTGATGAGATGACAGATCAGACATTTACAGTTGCAAGCCTACAAAGCTATAGTAAGTCACATGATACAGAAAAAAATGCAGTAACAGAGCACTAGCCTCATTTAAAGCTGAGATCGGCAGTAATGTTTGAGTCTTACAGGAAAAAAAAACATCTCCTGTTGTGTGAGAGAAACCTACACTTCTCCACCTCCTCCTGGCTTTGTGATGGGAGACTCTGGCCAATCACAGGTCAAAGAGAAGCCACTCTAATTGGCCCTAATTCATGGGAACTTCCCTTTACTAAGTGGCAGATATTCCTGAATTAAATTTGGCTATTCCACCGACAGCAACTACGTACATTGCAAAGCAGCCCAAAAAAGGGACATTTAATGCACTAAAACATCTCATCTCAGGAGCAAATATTAACCATCACCAGGGAGCAATGACAACTATATTCAGCACCTCTCATTGCTCCCTGGATTGGTAAGATGCTAAGTTAAATTTTCTGTGATGGTCTTGATGTAGCTGGTTGATGGCCTTCTGGCTG